GCTCTGTGCCCAACACTCTACCACACCCTGGGGACACAGATGCCTAGAGCACACCCCTGTCCTTGAGGTGTTTCGGGGGCCCGGGCAGCAACCATACAGAATGTGGCCAGACAGAGGGAAGCAGGGGCTGGGGTGGCCATGAGGAGGCCCCAACCCAGCTTGGGGCTCCGATGAGGCTCCCAGGAGGCTGAGTGACAGAAGAGAAGACATGAGCCACACTATAGGAAAAGGAGGTGTTGTTGGGGAAGTCACTCCTGAGAGAGGGGCCGACACACACCAAGGCCCTTAGAAGAGTGGACACATGGGTGCCAAGCTCAGGGGCACAGGTGGTTTTCTGTAGCTGCAAAGTGGAGTCCCAGGGGACAGCAGACAAAGGCGAAGCTAGAGTGCTCAGCAGAGACCAAAGGGGCTTTGAGTGCCAGGCTCAATGTCAACCTGAGCCCAGTGGTTTCATCCACCTCCAAGTGCCTGGCTGGGTGGTGCAGCCTTCCCACCCTGTCTGTCAGCCATTCTCATGACTGCCTCCTCCCCAATTCACATTCTGTCTCCCTCTGGCCCAGCAGAGATCAGCGATGGCGTAGAGGTGTCCGACGAGCTCTCCGTGTGTTCAGACAACAGTTACGACACATACGCCAACAGCACCGCCACCCCTGTGGGCCCCCGAGGGGGTGGCAGCCGTGCCAAGACCCTCACAGAGAGGAGTGGGCGTTAGCTGAAGGCATGTCTGTCCCACCTGTACCTGACACAGAAGCCAGGGGAGCCTAGGAGAGCTGGCAGAAGCGTGTCTGAACTCGGAGTGCTCTGGGAGCGGGCTCCACAGCCTCCTCGTGGGATCCAGCCCCTTGTCCGCCACAGCCTCTCTTGAGGGAGACTCCTGTCCTTTGAGCCCAGCTGGCCCAGGACTCAAGCCTCTCAGATGCCCCCACAGGCCTGGGGCTCCTTCTGGGAAGTATGGGACTTAGGGCTTGGTCCCCCCATTCTGAGGCCCTCTCCTATATCCCAACCTGAAGCTTTGATGGGTCATGGGCCATGCCATACCCCTGTGACAATGGAGGGTGCGGATACTCACCTGTGCCATCTGTCCTCCTGTCTGCTATGAGGCCACTGAGTTCTCCGTTGTTATCCTGCCCCACGGGCCTGGGCCAGGCCTCTACCTGAAGCAACTCTGCTCTTCCTGTCAGTCTCAAAGCACAAGGAGGTTCGGCCCAGGAGGAAGCCAGCTGCAGTGTGGAGACACGTCCTCCTCCCCACCTCATGCCACCGCTAGCCCCCTGCCCCAGGAGCAGGCCTGAGCATGTCCCCTGGGAGCAGCTGGAGATGGCCAGAAGTGAGAGCTCAGGACTACTGAATCCCATGCCCAAGTGTCCAGCAGACCTCAGGGCAGAAGGGTCCCTCAACCCAGGAGTCCACAGACTGATGTGACCTCAGCTTCCCACATTAGTGGCCACAGGGCAGGGCCCACCTGGGAAAAGTGTTTTGGACATGGTCAGAGTGGGTGTGTGGCTAAATAGGCCCACAACAGAGGGAACCCAAGGGCCTCGGCCAATACGATTAAAGCTGCCATCTTTATGTGTGTTGTCTCTGAATTGCCAGCAGGCGTGGGGTTCAAGCGTGCTGGGTCTAGGTTTCAGTTCTGACCCTACGATTTGAGAAGGAACCATTCTCAGGAATGAATGGGAAAGTGGCAGGATGGTGCCTCCTCTTCCCTGGGTCCGAAACGATGCCCATGGCTGGGAGCCGGTATCCTCACATGGTGTATGGGGAGACAGTCTTAGACAGGTAAAGTGACTTCCAAAGGCCACACAACTTAGAACAGGCCAAGCCAGAATCCCACTCAGACTCTTGCCCCAGCGCATGTGTGTGCCTCCCATAAGCAGCTAGGAATGACACACAGAGTGGGAGGGCTCCTAGGTCCAATGGCAGTGGGACTGGCAGGTGCCCTCGCAGCCACACAAAGGCATTGTGAGCCTCCTGGCAATGCTGGGACAAGCCCTTAGCTCAGGAGACCTCTTCCTGGCAGGGATTTGGCTTTGACTTCTCCAAGCTTTGGACCTGCCTGAGGAGGGCCCATGCCCAGGACTGGGGGGCGCCTGGGCTGAAAGCCAAAGTCCAGCCCTGGGACCACAGGTGTCCTTTCCTTTCAACCCTTGGAGCCTCTGCTGCCTGTGGGCAGGGGTCAGCGGTGGAGTTGGAGCAGGCCTGTATAACTCCCCTCTTTGTCCTGGTCATGGGTGTGTCCTGAGGGAAAAAGGGGAGGCTGAGCCCCAGCCTCAGCCTGCCAAGTGGTATGTCTCTTCCAAACAGGGATCTTCTGAATAGAATTCTTGAGTCTAGGAGATTCTGGCACCTTATAGGTAAAAAGGAAAAAAGCCCCCTGCAAATGTTGGAAGCTCCACTGGACCCCCACAGTAACCTTGAGGACTGGCCCTCCTGTCTGTGCTACTGAATGCCTGGCAGGTGCTCTGCCTCCTGGGGCAGAGGTAAGCTCCCACCTCTCTCTGGGCTAAGGGAGTAAGACTCAGAGCCACTGTGCCCCCACACATGCTTAGTCACGTTGGCATCTTCGTGGTCACACAGCCACATGTCCACACCCAGCCAATGCTACACCGTCACTTTATTCCATGCACTTCCACAATTACACACAGTCACCCTGGAACCTCCATGCCCACAACTGCATGATGACACCCCTCCCACATCCCTACTCCAGCACCATACACCTTCAAACCCACCCTCGTTCAGGAACAAGGGCAGCACCAGGTCACCCCCAAACCCAGGCACACCAAATCCTGGAGTTGCACACAGTCAATCCCACTCTTACGCCCCTTTCTTTGCCTCTCTCCCAGGGCTAGTCCAAGAATGGAACAAAAGCCCAACATCCCCCTCCCCACTCGCTTCTCCCTTCCCCTCCCTCCCCCTTCCTCCTGGCGTCCAGCCCCTTTGTCCTCCCGCAGCTGAGCCTGAGCAGTCAGGCACAGCGGCAGGAACACTGGAGTCTGGGCTGCTAGGGGTGTGGGCAGCAGGCACAGACCGGAGTGATACCTGAGAGCAGCAGCTTCGGAGCACTTGGGAGAGGGCGTGGCCAGGTAAGCGCCAGGTGTGAGGGGCAAGGCTTACGCTGCAGGGCTGCCGGCCGCGGGGTGTCTACTAGTCCGAGTGTGGGTTTGTGTGAGTGGATGTGGATGTGAGAAAAAGACAGTGATAGTGGCATGTTCGAGTTAACTTCTACAGCCTGGGTCCTTCAGTCTGCATCATGACCCCTGGCTTGAAGTGCCTAGATTCAGCCTAGAAGGGAGGATACCCATTGAGCTCTACCTGGGAATTTTTACCTTCCGTGTTCCAACTGGGTGTCCTTCAGCCCCCAGACTGGGGATCCCCAGAGTGAATGCTGGATCCGATGACCCTGTGTGTCCAGAGTGCCCAGTGCAGTAGAAAGTAAAATGAAAAAATACTGACACACTTCTAGGAGGGGACTCTCCCTCCCCAGGGAACTGCTTGTGCTGTGGGACACCTCTGGAAGAAGTCCATCCTTATGCTGATGAGACCTGTCCTCTTGGGTCTCAACTCAGAGCGTAGTTGCTTTCTGGGCCAGTGGAGGACAGACTGTTTGCAGCATGATCAGTCCTGGCTGCTCCTTGGGACATACCCCATCCTGGCAAGTGTGGCATGCAAACCCTGGAGCCAGGTGCATTCAGGATCCAGGCTCTCCACTTGGGCAGAAGTAGTTAACTTTCGCCGGGCGCGGTGGCTCACGCCTGTAATCCTAGCACTTTGGGAGGCCGAGGTGGGTGGATCACCTGAGGTCAGGAGTTCAAGACCAGCCTGGCCATCATGGTGAAACCCCATCTTTAAAAAAAAAAAAAAGTGGTTAACTTTCTTGCCCACCAGGGAGCTCATTTCTCATGATGCTGGGCAGGGGATCCACTGCCCAGGATGACCAGGGCATGAAAGCCAGGCTGACACTGAGCAGGATGTGACCTCCAGAGGCGGCAGAGCAGCTGGGAGCTGAAGGATGGAAGGAGAGGCAGGGAGCAGAGGGTGGACCTGAGCCTTCTAGAGTAAGCTGACGGATAGGAGGGAGCTCCCTGTCCCTGGAGGTGTGCAAGCAGAGGTGCGTGTCCATAATGGCCAAATCATAACCAGCACGGCCCAGCCCCTCAGTCTGCAGAGTGCCTTCACAACACCCTCCGCTGAGCCTGGCTGCAAACCTCTGAAGGGCAGGAGTCCTGTGTGTGCTTGTTTCCCTTATGTCAAAACTAAAGGGGCAGGGGTGGGCTAAAGAAAATTCTCAGGGTTGTGAGGATGAAATTAAATCATGTCTATAAAAGCAACTGGCACACACAGTGTCCTCGATTCCTCTTGAGTAAAAACAATGTAGGGAAACACTCATGTAGCTCATACTATGTGCTAGCACTTTTCATACAACCCATGTAACAGTCATGAAGCCACAGCCCTGGGAGGTAGGCATTATGATCCCATTCAGATGAGATAACTGAGGCCAGGGCAGGCAGGTGAGAGGAGTGACTTCCCTTGGCCACACACCGTGAGCCAGTGGCAGGGACAGGGTTAGAATCCCCATTTGTCCCTAGAGTTCTTTCCACTTCCTGACGCTGCTACCTGGAGAACACCAAGAGAACTCACTAGACACAGGGCCAGCTTCCCTCAGCCTGGGCTCTAAGCTGCCCTCCTTTCAGAATTGTCCTCAGCTGGAAGGGACACCCTCCCTGACTCCCTTCCACCCGGGTTCAGCACCCCTTCTTATGAACTCCCCTAACACTCGGTGCCTGCCTGAGGCAACCCCGCCAGGCTGGGAGCTCCGGGCACACCCAAACTATGGTTGTCTTTCTCACTGCCTGGCACTGAAAAGGCTCCCAATAAATACTTGTTGAAACCGTTTGCGCGAATGCTGTGTGTATGAATTCTGTCTGTCGGGGGAGTGCTCAGGGTGTGGTCAGTGCCAAGCACCTACCAGAGATCCGCAGGAGACAGGCTGGACTGAGCAGAGGACTGTGGAGTTACTGTACCCTCTCTCCCCTGCACACGCACACACTGGGTCTCTGTGGGGCAGCCTGAGTCCCTCCACCCAGGGCTTCAGCTCGTCACGGGATCTTCCTTACACAGATATATTTCCAGGTTCCAGTAACCTCCCTGCCCTACCGATTCAGACCCCGGGCGGCCAAGGCGCCCTGCTGTTAGCAGCCTGCCGCACCGCCCTACCGCTGCTGGAGTCCCTAACGCCGCCTCCGCTGTTGGAAATCGTTCCTTTATTAGACCCTCCTCCGATTACCCTATTTGAGAGCGCGCCATCTGTCTCCTGCATATATCGATAGGAAAACGCTTAGCAAGTCTGAAGAACCGAAAAGGGCACTGTGTCTGAGTGGGTACGCAGGGCAGAATGTCGTGCTGGTGAGGCAGGGCTGGGTCACTGTCGCCATAAGGAACCTGGACGGTAGACGGAGGGGGGAGTCGCTGATGGAATGGTCAAGGGAGGGAATAAACGGATGAGGACGGTTCCCTCTCCCCGGCGCAGCCACGTGGCTTCCCCGACGTTGTTTGTGTTCTCTCCCCGGCAGGATGCGGGAAGCCCCTGGGCCGGAGGAGTCGGAGCCGGGCTGCGAGCCGCCGTGTGCGGGCCAGTGCCACGCGCAGCGCGTGCTGCAGACCCTCAACGCGTACCGGCGGAGCGGCACCCTCACCGACGTTGTGCTGCGCGCCGGCGGCCGCGACTTCCCTTGCCATCGCGCGGCGCTCAGCGCGGGCAGCGCCTACTTCCGCAGCTTGTTCGCGGCCGGGCGACCCGAGCGCGTCCCGGCCGTGGTGCCCGTGGTGCCCGACGCGCCGGGCTCCGGCCCGGCCGGGACGGCGGCGGCACTGGCCGTGGTGCTCGATTACGTGTATGGCGCGGGCGCGCGGCTGCGCGCGGAGGACGAGGCGGCGGCCGTGCTGGCGCTGGCGGAGCGGCTGGGCGTGGCGGGCCTGCGCGAGGCCTGCGTGCGATTTCTCGAGGGCCGCCTGCGCGCCGCCAACAGTCTGGCGCTGCGCCGCGTGGCCGCCGCCTTCTCGCTGGCCCCGCTGGCCGAGCGCTGCGGCCGGGTCCTGCGCCAGGCCTTCGCTGAGGTGGCGCGCCACGCCGACTTCCTGGAGCTGGCGCCCGACGAGGTGGCGGCGCTGCTGGCGGACCCCGCGCTGGGCGTGGCGCGCGAGGAGGCCGTGTTCGAGGCGGCCATGCGCTGGGTGCGCCACGACGCGCCTGCCCGCCGCGGGCAGCTGCGACGCCTGCTGGAGCACGTGCGCCTGCCACTGCTGGCGCCCGCCTACTTCCTGGAGAAGGTGGAGGCTGACGAGCTGCTGCAGGCCTGCGGCGAGTGCCGCCCGCTGCTGCTCGAGGCCCGCACCTGCTTCATCCTGGGCCGCGAGGCCGGCGCGCTGCGGGCCCGGCCGCGGAGGTACGGCCGTCGTTTCCTAGCCTCCCGCCCTCCGTTCTTCCCACCTTCTTCCACCGTTCATTCATTCCTTCACCATCCTTTAGTACTGCCTCTTGATTATATTCAGTCACTCGTTGAACATTTTAGAGTCTCTTTGCTCAGAATTCTGCCCTTGAAGAGTTAACAGGTTAGTCAGGGAGATGCAGAGATCCCACACCTGGGGCACACTTTCCTCCTTGCAACCGTGAGAGTACTTATTACTCTACGCAAGTTCTGTGCAGGTTACAGGGACGCGGAAGTGATTTGGAAACACTCTTTGCCTTCTGGGAGCTCGCAGACTAATGAGGGATGGAAATAGGCAGGGGCGTGGGGAAAGAGTGAAAGCGGCCTGCCTCACCCATGGAAAGCTGGACTGGGAGACTGGGTAGAGTAGTCCTCAGTCACGCCCCCAGGAACCACACTATCTCTAACGGTAAGCTCAGGGCCTGGGACACAGATGCTTAGTATGTGCCAAAGGAATTAGAAAACCAGTGGCTAAAGGGTATGGAAATTCTGGTGGGGTCAGATGCCTGAGGGGTCAGTGAGAGGGAAGCATGGTTTGCTGAAAGGGTGAGTTATCTGGCTCAATGGAATTAGGGATGAGGGGATGTCATAGGAGGAAGGCAGCAGAATCAGAGGTTGGAGGTGAGAAAAGGGTGCTGAAGATGAGTTAGCCCACAAACAAACCTGGGCTTGAATTACAGCTCTGTCGCTTAATGGCTGCATGACTGGGCACGCCATGGTATGTGAGCCTCAGTTTCCTCCTCTGTGAAAGGGGTAATAATCCCTACTAATAGAACTGTCATACGGATTAAACAAGGTGATTTTTCTAGGTGAGGGCAAGGGATCTGTAAGGATTGTTTTTTCTGTAGTTTAGAGGTCAGCAGAATGCAGTAAGAATTAGCGATTCTCTTCCCATTAATACCCGCAGGGAAAGTTGGAAGTGGCAGAGTCCAGCGGGAGTGGGACCTGAGGGTCGGTGGGTGGGGTGATGGCAGAAGCGCATGAAAGGAAGCGGGACAGTGCATTGTGGTCGAGAGGGTGACAGAGGGCCGAACTTGGGTGCGGCCCAACAGGCACTGGGCTTATCCGCACGCCAGATTCATGGACCTAGCTGAAGTGATCGTGGTCATCGGCGGTTGCGACCGCAAAGGTCTCCTGAAGCTACCCTTCGCCGATGCCTACCACCCAGAGAGCCAGCGGTGGACCCCACTGCCCAGCCTGCCCGGCTACACTCGCTCAGAATTCGCCGCCTGTGCTCTCCGCAATGACGTCTACGTCTCTGGTGAGGGTGGGGCCGCAACGGGAGCTCACACGGGATTGGCTAGTCGCCTCTCGCAATCCTCCCCCTTTGCTTTTCCCTCCAATCGGGAGAGGAAGGCGGGATGTTTTCTGATAGCCTACAGTTATTGGCTGAAGTGAGCAGAAAATACGGGGGTGACCCGCCCTTTATTCAGCAATGTCAATTTCAATTCCTATGATTACTTTTTGTTCTGAGCCGTCTTCCTAGGGAATTCAGTTCGTGTTAGTATTAATAATCACTTCATCTAGCCTACTGTGTGCCAAACATTATGCTAAGCAGCTTACATTGGTTATCATTTATTCCCCATACAATGCTGTTTGCAGATGAGGAAGGCTCAAAGAGGCTCAGAATTTCCCCAGTTGTCTCAAAAATGGCAAAGCTAGGAGGAACACAAAGCTGTTTGATACCAACAAACTGTGTCCTCCCTGAGGCTCAGTCCCTAAAGTCTCAGAGAAGCATAAAACACAGCCCTTGCTCCCCTGGTGTCCTGCAGAGGAGAGACAGACTTCACTTTACCACCAGGCAGAATGTGATCAGAACTCTCAGAGTCCCCAGATGATCTGGAATGCCACTCAGGGAATCTATCCCAGCTTCATGGAAGGGACGACTTTACAGCTGGACCTTGAGAGTTGGAGGGAACAGTATAGGCAGAGGCACAAGGGCAAAGACATGCAGAAAGGAACCCTGGGCACTTGGGGCTCTGAAGCACAGGTTGAGTATCATAGGTGAGGCAGGAGTCAGATCAGGGAGGCTTTGAGTCTGGGGCTAAGTAGATTGAACTTGATGTTGTAGTGAGTTATGGGTGCCTGCAAAGGATAAGGAGCAGTAAAATAAGCCGTGGAGGCCTCAGAGACCACACATTACCACTGGACAATTTATCCAAGGTCGTTAATGGCTCTGAGCAACATGTGGGGCCTCTGTTGGGTGCCACTAGAAATACAACAAAGATGGGGCTACCAAACAGATGTGGCTCTGGTCACAGGCGCAGGTTTAGGGGTACAGTTAGGGTTGTCTGCAGGGAGGCTCCCATTCAGAGGTGAAACCCTGACCAAGATCCCCAGGGTGGCTAGGCATGGGAAGAAAAAGTCCACAGCCTGCATCCCCAGTGTCTGGTCCTATAGGGCATGCCATGTCCTCCAGCAGCACCAATGCTGGGCCTGGAGCCAGGAGCTCTGGTTCTGCCCATTGCTCTGACAAAAGGCCATGTAGTCTTCAGGTCGTTGCTGGTCTCTAAGCCTCATCTGAGTTTCTTGGATGTAAATTTGGTGTAGTATTCCCAATACCTCATGGAGGGATGAGATCAGAAATGAAATTGTGCAGGTGAAGGCAGAAGGAAGGGAGGGTTACTGGGCCACCCTCTACCCCTCCTGGCTCCCAATGCAGGTTGCTCTGCTTTTCCTGGGTCCCCAGCACATTCCAGATGTTTGCCTTGGGTACCCTTTGTACTCTTACCTTTAGTACAGCAGTCCCTTCTTTGCTCCTCGGAGCACAGAGCCTGACACACCACCACTGCCCAATGAAAACCAGCCCCTTCTTCCTGAATCTTTCAGGCTTCTCCCTTCAAGAGTCCTAACTCAGACCTTCTCACCACTTACTCAGAGCACACTGTCTGGGTCACAGGCCCAGAGTCTTACACCAGCTCAAGGGGAACTCCTCCTGCTGCCTTCCCTTAACCCTTCTTTTGGATCTGGGGGCCCTAGTTTCTAGCCCTTTGGGGGTGCTGGGGATAGCAAGACAGCTGTGGGCAACAGGTGCTTCTCTCTCCCTAGGAGGCCACATCAACAGTCACGATGTGTGGATGTTTAGCTCCCATCTGCACACCTGGATCAAGGTAGCCTCTCTGCACAAGGGCAGGTGGAGGCACAAGATGGCAGTTGTGCAGGGGCAGGTAGGCACGAGCTGCAGCTGCTGCCCTGGGACCCAAGGTACAGATCTGTGGATGTCCTGGAGGGAGGTTCTCTAAAACCCTCTTTTTGTAAGAAGGGTCTGAGGCTCCCCGAAAAAGAAAGAGACTTGTCCAAGGTCACATAATAATACTGATGCTAATAATAATAGCAATTACTGTAACAGTAACAGCCTGATGGTCAAGGGTGTAGGCTCTGGGGCCATACAGTCTAGGTTCGAAGGTCGACTCTGCCACTCAAGACAAAAAGAATCTGTCAATTATCTTTGTAAGCTACATCCCGAATCCAGAAACACAAATAAAAATGCTTCTTAGAATCATTAAGTGGGGTGGTAAAGTCTTAATACTAGTTATTATTATTAAGCATCAGCTTGGTGTCAGGTATTCTACAGCTCTAACCCGCATTCAGTACCCATCCTAGAGAGAGGCAGGTCTTATTATCCCCGGTAAATGAGAGGAAACCGGCTCAGGGATGTACAGCAACTGTGTGGAGGACGCCCAGGTGGTGGCAGCGCTAGGCTTCCGGGTTGGTTTGGTACTGAAGCTGGGTTGGGGACAGGTTAGTTTTCAGCTCAAAAACTGTTAAGACTGAAGCAGCGAGGCCGAGGGGCCTAAGGCCCTGACTCCTGGCGCCCTGGCCCATGTCCTCACTTGCAGCTGTTCGCGGTGGGTGGCTTCGACGGCCTGAGGCGCCTGCGCAGCGTGGAGCGCTACGACCCCTTCTCCAACACCTGGGCGGCCGCCGCACCCCTCCCGGAGGCCGTGAGCTCGGCAGCGGTGGCGTCCTGCGCGGGTCAGCTCTTCGTGATCGGGGGTGCCGGGCAGGACGGCGTCAACACTGACAAGGTGGGCGCGGGCGTCGGGAGGCTGCAGCGCCCAGTGTGTGCCAGGCGCAGAGCTGGGCATTTCCATGCCCTTGTCCATTTCTTTACTTAATCCCATCAACAGCCCAGACAAATCACCTCCATGTTTCAGGCAAGGAAATGAGCAGAAAAAATGACCCCAAGGTCACACAGTGGGTCAGCAGCATACCAAGACTCAAATGTTTGGGCTGGTGTCATGTAAGTTTCATAGATTTTAAAAATTAAGGGCAAGATAGTTGAAATGCTTTTGTTCCATTCCAAAAATAATACACTCATTACTGAAAACTTAGAAAACACAGAATAGAAAAAAAAATCACCCATAATCCCACTGTTTAGGCAGAGCTGCTATTAATATTTTGGTACATTGCCTTCCAGGCTTCCACTGAATTGATTTTTGTTTTTCTTACAATTTTGTGTTCTGTTAGTAGAATTTTGCATCCTGCTTTTTATTCTAATTTAAGTATGAGCACTTTCCACGTGCTTAGCAACTTTACAGCTGTTATTTCAAAGTCTGTACTATTCCACTTGGTGGATGAACTAGAGTCTACTCATCTTTTATTGTTGGATATTTAGGCTTTCTGCAAATAAAAATCTTTATTATAGCAGTTCCTTCCCTCCCCTGATGGCTCATAGGCCTGTGGTCCTGAGACCTATTTCCCAAATTAGGAAATTTGTGCCCAGCCTTCTTTATTCCCTGACCACATTCTTCCAGCAAACCCTCCTGGAGCCAAGTGATGGGCACTCATGGTGGGAGGCCCCATTTAACACCATCCTGTGTGGCACTGATTTATTATATGCTGCTGTGGGGGGTCCCCAAGGAAACAGTTGAGGAAACAGAGTGAGGTGAGCAGGCAACTGCATAAAAACTGTTAAGGGCATCAGAAACACCCATGGGCATGTGGACAGCTGTAGGAATAGGACTGCAAGATACCTCAGTTGGAATCTTATGACCTGAGAGCACCAGGAAAAGAGAGCTGACAGTGTATGCAGCCAGGAACACATCCCTGTGGGGGGGTCTGCTTTATAACCCTTTATAACCCTAAAGCAGACGGTACCTCTCCCAGCTCTGTATGATGTGCTCCTGTGATTCATCTCACATGAGGCGCCTGTGTTCTCCATCAGAGGAGAGGCTGTTCCAGTGAGGGGAGGAGGAGTGGAAACACCAGGGAAGCCTGTAAGGATGGGGTGGCATTTGAGCAGGACCTTGAAAGATGAGGAGGCTTTGGACAAAGGGAGTCCAGAGGCAGAGGATAAAACATAGAACTAGATGGAGAGCCCTTGAGGGCAGGAACCGTGGCTCTCCCCTTCCCTCCCAGATGCTGGCTCGGGCCTGGTGGACATTTGGCAAATGTTGTTTTGAATGAGTGCCCCTAGGGGAGAGAGGTGGCAGCGTGTGGGCAGTGGGGCAGTTGCAGCGTCGGGAGGGCAGTGAGGCTTCATCACCACTGCTCCTCTTGCCCCTCAGGTACAGTGCTTTGACCCCAAGGAAGACCAGTGGAGCCTGCGGTCACCAGCACCCTTCTCACAGCGGTGTCTCGAGGCTGTCTCCCTGGATGACACCATCTATGTCCTGGGGGGTCTCATGAGCAAAATCTTTACCTATCATCCAGGCGCAGATGTGTGGGGGGAGGCAGCTGTCCTCCCCAGCCCTGTGGTAAGTGGAAGCTTCAAGGCAGGAGAGCAGAAGCCATTTCTAAGGCTCTATTTCTTGGAGCTTGTGAATCTGGTGTGACTCCATGCTTGGTGGTTTTATTATACATAGTTCTCTAGCTTTGTCCTCAGTGATAGTGAACCATGCATTTCACAGATGAGGAGATTGGCCTTAGAGAGCTTCAGCACCTAGGCCCTGTTAAGGCAGAGCCTAGAACTCTGCAGTTCCAAGTGCTGTGGCTTTGGGTGGGAGTTTGGTCTAAATGACCCTGCGGTTTCTCCTGCCCTAAGCCCACTGCTGGTAACCAATCATGGGGAAAGGGGTAGGAAAGGGACTTGCTAAGTTCTGCTCTCTAGTGATATGAGGCCCAAGTCCTGGAAGCTCTGGCCCCTGCAGTTCCTTGCCTCCCCTACCTTCATCTCCATCCCCCGAAATTCCAGAGACTATACAGGTATGGCTGGACTGGTGGTCTCTGCCAGTTCTGACCTTTGGTGACCTTAAGAGGGTGAGATTTTTGGCTTCTCTAAGACTCTAAGATGGTGGCAATGGAGATTATTGTTACTGGTGTGCTTACCATATTCCAGGCTTTATGTAAAATGCTTTATATGCTTAACTCCCATTAACTGTTAAGGAAACCCTGTGAAGAAGGCACTCTTGTTCTTCTCCTTTTGCAGATGGGGAAACTCGGGTCCAGAGAGGTTAAGTGACTTGCCTAAGGCCATTCACTGAGTAAGGGTCAAGCCAGAGCTTGAACTCTGGTCCATCCAGTTTCCTTCCTCTCTGCAGGCCAGATTGCCTGCTCACAGTCTGTGGGTCAAGGTTCTATTATCTGGCCTGGCCAGGTAAGGACAGAAGGAGCACAGGCTGGACCTGATAGTTAATTGTGTTTCTGTTTGTCCACCCAGGAGAGCTGTGGAGTCACCGTGTGTGATGGGAAGGTCCACATCCTTGGTGGGCGGGACGATCGCGGAGAAAGCACCAATAAGGTCTTCACCTTTGACCCCAGCAGTGGGCAGGTCGAGGCCCAGCCATCCCTGCAGCGCTGCACCAGCTCCCATGGCTGTGTCACCATTGTCCAGAACCTGGGCAGGTGACTCAGATTGGACAGCCTGAGCCAGGAGGCAGAGAGGCAAGCAGAGCTCAGGTGTACACTCTTCTCTCTCATGGCACCTCCACGCAAACAGCCCTTAACTTGATGGTCCCTTTTCTTGCAGAAATAAAACCTTGTCCAGCCTGTCCAAGATGGTGAAACCCTGTCTCTACTAAAAATAAAAAAATAAAAATTAGCCAGGCGTGGTGGGGGGCACCTATAATCCCAGCTACTCAGGAGGCTGAGGCAGAGAATTGCTTGAACCCAGAGGTGGAGGTTGCAGTGAGCTGAGATGGCGCCACCGCACTCCAGCCTGGGCGACAGAGGAAGAATCCATCTCAAAGACAAACAAACAAACAAAAAAACCAAAAACTTTGTTGGATCTGTGTTCCAGCTGCAGTCTGCCCTCCTGGAGATGGAATGTCCAATATCTGCTCCCTGTGTGTACTCTTTATGAGGCACTTTCATACCATTGCAGTCTGTTTGAGCTGTCACAGACTGCAATGGTATGAAAACTATCATAAAACACCTTAGACTGGGTGATTTATAGACAACAGAAAATTATTTCTCACAGTTCTCAAGGCTGGGAAGTGCAAGATCAGGTGGCCAGCAGATCTGGTGTTTGGTGAGGGTGCTCTGCTTCATAAATGGTGTTTTCTTGCTGAGTCTTCTCATGGTAGAGGGAGGCCAGGCAGCTCCCTCCGACCTCTTATATGAGGGCTCTCATCCAACTCAGGAAGGCCCTACCCGCATTCGTGAGCAATTTAATCTCTTCCCAAAGGCCCTACCTCTTACTACTATAGCTTTCGGTATTAGGTTCTGACATACATTATCTCATTTACTTTCAAAAGAGTAATGTGGGCATTTTTAAAAAACTATAAAATATTTCATGCATAAAAAGAACCTATTATATATATAAACAGTTAAAGAATAATAAAATGTCTATTTCCCACCACTTAGAAAGACATGGTTACAAACACCTCTGTAGGCCTGTGTCCATTCCCAAACACATCCCTTCCCACACTCCTCCCAGATGAAGTTACCGTCCTTAAAATTGAGATGATCAGCACTCACTGCTAGGAGCCAGATACAAGGGGGGGTCGGGACTCCCCCACTCATGGAAGAGGCAAAAACAAAAAGTAATGAATCCCTGAACAACCACGGAGTGGAGGCTCACAGCAAACTGCAGGCTCAGGGTGTGGGCACCACAGCCACAGGCCTCTGAGAATGCAGCCACCCTGCTCTGCACCAGATCCTGTGAGGTGCCCAATGTCAATGGGGGCACAAGTTCCTGATGGCATTGTACGCCTGGGGCACTGGGCACAGTGGCTCACACCTGTAATCCCAACATTTTGGGAGGTCAAGGTTGGTGGATCACGAGGTCAAGCGTTCGAGACCAGCCTGGCCAACATAGTGAAACCCCATCTCTACTGAAAATACAAAAATTTAGCTGGGCATGGTGGCGGGTACTTGTAATCCCAGCTCCTTGGGAGGCTGAGGCAGAAGAATCGCTTAAACCTGGGAGGCGAAGGTTGCAGTGAGCCTACATCGAATCACTGTAGTCCAGCCCAGGCAACAGTGTGAGACTCCATCTCAAAAACAAAACAAAACAAAAAGTCTGGGGCTCTAGGGGCAACAACCAACTGCTGGGTAGGGAGGGGTGAGCTCAGAGAGGGAGAGAAAGGGAACAAAAGATGCCACAGACAGATTCTGCGAGGTTCTGTGCCTGTGGCTGTGAGGCCTGGAGAAGCTGGCCAGGCCCCAGCTGCAGGCTCCCCCTCATTTGTACTCAGATTGCCTTTGGAAGAGGAATCATCATCTGCTACTTGCGTCTCCCTCCAGCACAAGGCCAGCCCCACATCCCACCCCCTCTTCCAAAGCCCCAGGGCCCTGTCTACAGAGTCTCTCCAGCTGGGGCTGGCCCATCATGACAGGCATAAAGGCCCGGGTCCCAGCTGAGCTCCGACCTTCCGATTATCCCAGATTAGGGAGCCTGTGACCATCTGGACACAGCTGATAATGGCAGCAGGGGGAGGGGAGTGGGGACACGGAGCCTGCCTGCTCCCACCCCGTGGGGAGTGCCCAGGACAAAGCAAAGAAGGCACCATATCACTGGACTACTCAGGAAAAAGGTAGGGGCAGAGCCAGGGCATGTTCTTACCAAAGATGCGGGCACCTCAGCTGGCTGGAGCCTTCCGGCATGCCAGGCAGAGCGCCCCATTTCCCCCGAACTGACTGTTCGTGCCTCCAGTTCGCTGTCATGCAAGTGCCGACGCCGTCTCCTCTTTGTCCACTCAGGCCCACTTTATAACCTCAACCCCAGAGTTGCCTCTTCTCCTTGTGCCCCTTCCTTATCTGCTGCCCTCTCTATCACCGGACACATAGCCAGGCCTTTCTTTTTATGTGACCTCTCTATTCTCTCCTGACACACCCATAGGATGCCCCTTGAGGCAGAAAAGGTGTCAGCTTCACCTGTGTCCTCCAATGCCTGGAACAAGGCTTCCCATTGACTATACTACATCTTGTAACAGCTGTAAGGCAGGCACTACTGCTGCCCGCCTGCGCCCTCACAAATGAGGAAACAGAGACTTAGCATTGGATTCAGACCAGGGCCCAGCTGTCTCCCCCAGGCTCTGCTAACCTGACAAACAGCCTGAGTGCAGCACAGTTGTGTGGAAGGAGAGACCGGCATTGCCACCATGGGGAATCCCAGTGCGATGGGATACTGTCCCCGCCCTAGAGGCCTGCAGCTAGATGGAGACATGGTTCTTGTCTCCAAATGAGGGAGAGGGACTGCTGCCACTCAGCAGAAAGCCAGGCCAGGAGTTCCGAGAGCAGAGCCCTCAGGTGTGTGGGTCTGCCGTTCGCTCCCTTGTTGAGGACAGAGACTTCACTGGTGGTATACCCTCAGAAGCCACTGAACCCAAATTTAGTTTTTGAGTTTCTTTTTTGAGCGGTTCTATTTGTAAGAATTGATATTTTATGGCTACTCTTAGTAGTCTTCCAAAGAACAAGATTTATTAAAAAAAAAAAAAAAAAAAAACTGTAATTCCAGCACTTTGGGAGGCCGAAGTGGGTGGATCACCTGAGGTTAGGAGTTTAAGACCAAGTTCACCACCAGCCTGGCTAACAAGGCGAAACCTCATCTCTACTAAAAATGCCAAAGTTAGCCAGGTGTGGTGGTACATGCCTGGAGTCCCAGCTACTGAGGAGGCTGAGGCAGAATCACTTGAACCTGGGAGGTGGCGGTTGCCGTGAGCCTAAGTTGTGCCACTGTACTCCAGCCTGGGCAACAGGGAGACTCTGTCTCAAAAATTTAAAATAAAACAAAGTGAAACATTCATTACCATATGAATATATTGGATTTTTTTTTTTTTTTGATACAGAGTCTCACTTGGTTGCCTAGGCTGTAGTGCAATGGCAAAATTTCGGCTCACTGCAACCTCTGCCTCCCTGGTTCAAGTGATTCTCCTGCCTCAGCTTCTCCAGTAGGTGGGATTATAGGCATGAACCACCACACCCACTAATTTTTTTTTGTTGTTACTGTATTTTTAGAAGAGATGGGGTTTCACCATGTTGGCCAGGCTGGTTTGGAACTCCTGACCTCCTCGGCCTCCCAAAGTACTAGGATTATAGGCATGAGCAACTGCGCCCAGCCTGGTTTGTTTTGTTTGTTTGTTTGTTTTGAGACAGAGTTTCATTCTTGTTGCCCAGGCCGGAGTGCAATGGTGTGATCTCGGCTCACCAAAACCTCCGCCTCCCGGGTTCAAGTCATTCTCCTGCCTCAGCCTCCTGAGTAGCTGGGATTACAAGGCATGCACCACCATGCACGGCTAATTTTGTATTGTTAGTAGAGATGTGGTTTCTCCATTTTGGTTGAGCTGGTCTTGAACTCCTGACCTCAGATGATCTGCCAGCCTCAGCCTCCCAAAGTGCTGGGATTACAGGCGTGAGCCACCGTGCCCAGCCCGATTCTTTTATAAATCTAAAACGCATTTGAGCTCTTGATGAGCTTATTTTTCCTATATCTTACAACAATTTGCTATTTCCTCCTAAAAATTATTTCATATTACTCATTAATTATATCTAACCATGGTACACACGACTAATAAGAAAATGGAAGAATGATAGTACTGCCAGAAAGAAGATGCGGTAGTGAAATAAACCATCACTATTGCATCATCCTTTGGTTTCTTTATTGCATTGCCCAAAGAATTATATAATCTTTCAGAAGGTTGGAGAATTCAGGACTTTTCAATTTCCACTCATAATGACAAAAAAAGAATAATGACAGTTGAGGACATTTCACTTGGACAAATCAGACAATAAATGCAGACACATAGCAGCACAGCACTCCAGTCTCTAAGGATGGTTGTGAAATTAGTCATAGAAACATCTTTCCTAATCAATTTCCTCAAACTCAAGAATTGGTGAACGAGCAACATATTTCTTTTTATTACTACTTTTTGAGATGGAGTCTCACTCTGTTGCCCAAGATAGAGTGCAGTGGCACAATCTCGGCTCACTGAAACCTCTGCCTCCTGGGCTCAAGCGATTCTCCTGTCTCAGCCTCCCTAGTAGCTGGGGCTACAGGTGCATGCCACAACACCTGGCTAATTTTTATATTTTCAGTAGAGACGGTGTTTTACCATGTTGGCCAGGCTGATCTCAAACTCCTGACCTCGGGTGATCTACCCACCTCGGCCTCCCAAAATGCTAGGATACCAGACATGAGCCACTGTGCCTGGCCAGAGCAACACATTTCTAAAGACAAAAAAGAAACATGATATTTTCATTCAGTTAAGTCATTCTACAGGAAGAATTTCATCACACAATACTGTGTGATAAAAACCTGGACCAGTGAATCGGGATGACTATTTTTCCTGGTATGTTGAGGGTAAACCAGTGAGCAAAGGATCCAGCACCTTTGGCATCCACCCCCTCTGGCAGGGAAGTGGCCCTATTGCTGTGTGATGCTTCCCCTTCTGCTCTCTCTAATAAGCAAAACCATCTTAAAGGCCAGCTCTACCCTCTCTCTAGGCAATTGAGGGCTCAGAGTCCAGCTCTCCTGCTTACCACACAACGGGCTGTGGGCATAGGCTGGTTGCGGGGGTAGTCGATGGCCTGCCAGTGCAGGCGAGACGCATA